TCACTAATTAGTAATTATCTCCCCTAGGAAGAGGATGCGGCCCTTCATTTGAACAAATTTGAATCCCCTGTACCAAAGGATACTCTGTGCCAAGGTTGGTTGAAATAGGCCCAGTAGTTCTGGAGAAAAAGATGAAATTGTGAAAAGTTTACAACGAGGATAACGACTACAGACAACGGACAATTTTCGATAATTTTTTTTTTAATCTTGAAATGTAAAATTTTCATCGCTATTTCAGTCTAATGGCTAATTAAGCTGTAATAAAAAAATATCATGGCCTCATGAAATGTTGATCTAGGTATCTTTCACAATCACATCTGTTGGAATATATCCTTTAAAATTAACCAAAAGAACCTTAAGCGTGCACGTACTTGTATCATAATACATGTTGAATTTTGTCTCCATTGGCGGATCCAAAAAAGGGGGGGCAGGGGTTGGAACCCTTCTTTATTTTTGCAGAGAGAGAGAAAAAAGAGTGAGAGGAGAATTTTTCCTGTAATTTAGATATTTTTACATATAAGATTCTGAATAAAATTAGATAGCTCAATCTCTGTCCTTTCTGCTCGCTAGATATAGTTTCGCGTATTTGTTTTCCTCTGTGTACTTTCACAACCCCGGCCCAGAGCCCCGACCACCCACAAGTAATATGAAAATTTTCAGTTTGATATCATCGGAAGATTCCGGAGAACTTGAGCTATGCCATTTTTTGGACAACCTTCTGAAGTAAACAACTTTAAGAAGGAAGTATGCATAAGAGAACACCGGTATTTCTTATATTATGGGGATATTTTCATGGCCGTAGGAACCGAAGGGGGGCGTGCCAAATAATTTTGCTGATATATAGAATACTATAGAAAACATATCTAAAAAATGCGTGTGTCCCCTCAATGAAAACGTCTGACGCCCCCCTTTTTTAGCTCACCTGAGCCGAAGGCTCAAGTGAGCTTTTTTGATCAAAGAGTGTCCGGCGTCCGTCTGTCGTCTGTAAACTTTTCACATTTTCGACTTCTTCTCAAGAACCACTGAGCCAATTTCAACCAAACTTGCCACAAAGCATCCTTGGGTTAAGGAAATTCAAGATTTTTGCAGGAAGTGTCGCGCCCTTTTTCAAGGGGAGATATTTAAGAATTCATGAAAATTTGGTGGCATATTTTGAAAATCTCCCTCTCAAGAACCACTGGGCAAGAAAAGATGAAACTTATGTGAAAGCGTCATTACATACTCTAGATTCAAATTTGTTCTTATCATAACCCCTGGGGCTAGGGCGGGGCCACAAGAAGGGGTCAGAGTTTTACATAGCAATATGTAAGAAATATCTTTAAAAATCTTCTGAAGATCAGCAAAGCCATGATTAGTCATATTATTACAAAAGTATCCTCAGGTAGTGTAGATTCAAGTTTGTTCCAACCATGACCTATGGAGGTGGGGCAGGGCCACAACAGGGGGGTCAAAGTTTACCATAGGAATATATAAGAAATGTCTTGAAAAAAATCTCCAGAACAGCAAAGCCATGATTAGTCAAATTATTACATTGATATTCTCCTGTTGTGTAGATTTAAGTTTGTTCCAACCATGGCAAAAGAGGGGTCAAATTTACCATAGGAATATATAGGAAATACCTTAAAAAATCTTCTCGAGAACAGTTTAGCCATTATTAGACATATTAATACAGAAATATCATCAGGTAGTGTAGATTAAAAGTTCCAATCATGACCCCTAGGGGTAGGGCAGGGCCACAACAGGAGAGGGGGGTTCAAAGTTTACCATAGAGTATATAGGAAATATCTTGAAAATATGTTCTCAAGAACAACTAAACCATTATTAGACATATCAATACAGAAGTATCCTCAGGCAGTGTAGATTAAAGTTCAAATCATGACCCTTGGGGGTAGGGCGGGGCCACAAGAGCGGGTCAAGGTTTACATATGAATATATAAGTGTAATGGTTAAGGGTTATTGGAGTAAAATATTATATTGAAGACTTAAAATAGTGGAATGACCTGACATCCCTTGGAATGGACTAGCCTAAGGGTATATAAGGCAAAGCTTTGGGAAAGTCAGGCATTCAGAAGGTAGCTGAAGAAGTTGGAGAATGAATCAGTAATAAAGAAGTTAAGGTATTCCATCCTACTAGGAAAAGATTCAATAAAATTGAGGAAAGTCAGGCATTCAGAAGCTAGTAGAAGAAGTTGGATGTTGAATCAGTATTAAAAAAGTTAATATATTCCACCCCTAATAGCAACAGATTCAATGAAATTGAATACATAACAAATGTACAGGTGTTGAAAACTTAGTATATTTAGACATAATTCCCATTTATTACTATTAGCATGTAAGTGTGGGATGCGTCCTAAATTATGACCTTGAATTTTGATAAGAGTTATCTCCCTCTGTTTTTAATTAATTAAAAAAAATCAATTTTAAAAATCTTACCTGGTAAAAAAAATCATTTTCAATTGTCATTCTATTTCTAATGTGTTTTAGTGCATTTTTTCACAACAGTATTTATTGATATTCTTCTCGTATTTGAATTTTTAATTTTAAAAAATTGCTCCATAGACTTCAATGCAAGCTTTGTTAAGTACTTGAGTTCTGGGTGTAGTTAATCTGAAGAAGATTGAGACAACTGGTTCATATCTATCAATGGGAACCTAGGGGAGAAACACGGTGCAAGTAGTGCAAGTACCTTACCCAATCCCCATCTCTATATGAAAGAGATTTAAGTACTATGTGATATACCCTCAGACATAGCTGTCCAATCATTAACTCAGACAGAGTGAAAGGAAAACCTATATATCCCTTGTAAGAACCTGATCATACACGTTACATAGGAAATATCTTTGAAATCTTCTTCTCAAGAACAACTAAGCCATTATTAGTTGTATATATACAGAAGCAACCTTAGGTATTGTAGAATCAAGTTTATTCAAATTATGACCCCCAGGGGTTGGGGTACAACAGAGTGTCAAAGTTTTGCATAAGAATATATAGGAATCATCTTGATAAAAAATCTGCTGCTCCAGAACAACAAAGCCATGATTAGTCATATTATTATAGGATCATCCACAGGTAGTGTAGATTCAAATTTGCTCAAATTTACGGTGGGTAGGGTGGGGCCACAATGACCAATCAGAGTTTTACTTAGGATACATAGGAAATTTTTTTTGAAATTCTTCTGTTTAAGAACAGCAAAGTCATGATTAGTAATACTGATCTGGAAGCATCCTGAGGTAGTGTAAATTTAAGGTTGCCCCCCCCCCCCTTAAAACTTTTCAAAATACTGAACTGATTTGTGCTTCTTCCTAGCCAGTGTGCTCAGGTGGGCCTCTTATTGTTTTGCTTGTCTGGCCTAATTTTAATCAATGAGGAGAAATGTTAAAAATGTTCCCGTAGTATGCGGGTAGAGGGGGGCTCACGTTTGCTATAGTTTTAACATGTAAATTTTGATTTACATTGAAAGCTCCCCACGCACTTTTTGTTACCGGAAGGTCAAAATACGGTAATTCAAGCATTTGAAAGAAAAAAATGTACCGAAAACTTAGATGACCCCCCCCCCCCCCGAATTAGGATTTTACGTTGTGGTGCACAGGTTGTTAGTGTAGTTTTTTTGTAATTTATTGCTTGTCAACTCTTTTTGGAGGTTGCCCCCTTTGAAAACCGTTGCCACGGGCTTGAAATCCCTGTGGTATTCTTCTATGCATGGGTGTTTATGCTTATGGTTATCTATTAACCTTTCGAAACAAAGTAAAGAATCAATACAATTTTTCTTTTGCAAATTGTAAGAGGAACACGAAAAATATCGGGAATTTTAGCACTCTTTTGCCTGTTGTCTTGTGATAGCAGGGGTGTCCCCTACAAGAACCCTAATAAGCGTCGAGCTTATGTATGACCAAATATGAGAAAATATGAAAAAAAACTGCTTTCAAATTCTTAAAGTTGTTTAAAAGAGTCTTTAATTCTAAACAAAACAAAATTACGATAATGATGATTTTTAAACGTGTATGACATCATATAGATGAATAATATGTCTCAGGAACAGAACATGTCTTTGAAGAGTTCAATATAATCAAATTTAATGATGTATTATGTTAAATAAAAATATTACTTCTAAGCAATAAAACTCAAAATTTAGTCATATTCTGAACTTTTGTTTTTTTGTTTTTTTTTTTTTTTTTTTGGGGGGGGGGGTTGAATGGGGCATTGCCCTTTTTTATTTCTCTGCCTGTCTTTACATTGCCTGATTTTACTTACAGTAATATGAGCTGCAATTTTGATGTCGAAAATTTTATTGGTAATATTATAATCAACAATTTCAATGACAAAAAAATAAGAACATTTTTCATATTTGCAATGGAAGAACTATTTAGAAGCTTTGATTGAAGCAAAATTACACTATTGTACATGTAGTCCTGTACAATATTGATTTCTTATATAATACTATACATTCCATTGTACAAAAAATTTTCTTCTGAAAAATTAATACTTTATTTTAGTGTAATTGATCATAAAGGTTTGAATTACATACGGATTTACGAAAACATCACATTTTAACAGCAAAATAAAATTCTCAAAAATGCAGCTCATATTGCTTCAAAGAAAAAAAACCGCGTGCATTAGCATTGAACCTCTAGGATTAAATCTGCTCAAGACAATTAATTTACAGAAAGAAAGACGGACATTATGACTCACATTTTCCTCCCTTTTCCATGAAATCAATATATTCACTTCATAAATCAAATTTCCATACAAATATATCTCAAAATCCGATAAAATTTAAACTTGTTTAATATTCATTATTATGGTCAGACTTTAATCATTGATCCTTAACCTTTTATTACTTTTAATTTTGACCATAGAAATTTTCTACGACCGGATAAAAATAATTCCTTGATAATATATCTTTTCAAAAAAAAAAGAAGAAGACAAATTAGCCCTAGGGTAGGATGGTGCATTAATTTCAAATTCTCGATGGTTCTTGTCCCTCCACTAACAATAGTAGTCAATTCAAGTTTAAGTGACTGAGCAAAATACTTTTTTCCCATAGCTGAAAATCAGCAAAGGCTTAGTAAAAAATCATTATAATTTTTATACATAACAATTACAAATGTAAACCAAATTTAAAAATTACAATAATAAGGCCTCGTGAATCATGTCCTGTTTGCTCGCGTCGTCGTCTGCAATGAATTGGGCCCAGGCGTCTACTATGTGCTGGACATTTGGTTGACCCTTGGTAGCCTTGAATAGCTGGTAAGCCTTAGCCACTTGCGCCGAATCTTCTTGACCAAAGACTTTAAATCCGAAAGCGAACTCCTGCTCTACGATAGGCCGGTCCTTGTTTTCTGCTACAAAGGAAGCGATATCGCTAAAACATCTCTCCATTTCTTGATAGAATGCCGCCTTGTCTTTCTGGTAAGATTCTCCTAGGCTGGCCTGGAACTCTTCTAGAGTCAATGATACACCGGGACCTTTACGAAAGATGTAAGTATTCCACCATTTTGTGTTGTCAAATCCCGCATTGTCATTCGCTTTGTCGCCGAGTATTTTCTGTATTTCTATAAACTTTTTGGCAGAAATCTCCATATCTTCTATCGAAAGTTTATTGTCGTGGTTAGCATCTAAGGATTTGAACCATATCGCCCATTTTGATTTAAGATAGTCCATTTCTCCTGTAATATACAAAATACATTTATTAATTATAGTACCGAGTAAGAAATATAAATACTAGCTTTCATTGTAAAACCTTTTTGATTTAAGATAGTCCATTTCTCCTGTAATATACAAAATGTATAGGTATATATATTAATTATAGTACCTAGTAAGAACTTTAAACACTAGCTTTCATATTGTAAAACCTTTCAGTCTTGATGTTTCTCTACCATCAAAAAAGATTCACCAAACGATAGGGGGATGAAAAATATAAATTCTGCAAACTTCAGGCTTGCTGAAAAACTTCATAAACAAAACCTGAAGGGCAGTGTATTCGTATTATGTACATGTAATATATACAATAAGAAGTACAGGAAAAATAGTTTAAATCTGTGATTTATTATGATGATTTGCATTTTTGTCCAACACCATTGCCTCAAACACAAAATTCTTTCATATGTATTTCAAAATTGAAGAGAATTAAATAAACGAAAAACATTTTTTAAATACGGACCCTAACGTTCATTACGTCTACTCGGTTTAACCAATAATATTTGGCATACATATGTATTTCCTTTTCGTTTTGGACAAAGTGTTGATGAATTTAATAAGAGGCCCATGGGCCACATCGCTCACCTGAGCTCAGTGGCTCGGACAAAGAAGAAATCAGTATGGTATTGAACGGGGGGGGGGGGGGGGCTTTAATTTACACTACCTCAGGGTGCTTCCATATCAATATTACTAATCATGACTTTGCTGTTCTTAATTAAACAGATTTAAAAGATTTTTTCCCTATGTTTTCCTATGTAAATCCTTGAGCTCTCATTGTGGCCCCGTCCTACCGACCCTAAATTTGAACAAATTTGAATCTTCACTACTTGAGAATGATTCTATAATAACATGACTAATCAAGGCTTTGCCGTCCTTGAGTAGAAAATTGTTTCACGATGATTCCATTATATTCTTATAAACTTTGACTCTCTCTTGTGCCCCCAACCCCTGAGGGTCATGATTTGAACAAACTTGATTCTACAATTAATACCCAAGGTTGCTTCTGTATAAATATGACTAATAATGGCTTAATTGGTCTTGAGAAGATTTTAAAGTTATTTCCTACGTAACGTGTATGATCAGGTTCTACAAGGGATACATAGGTTTTCCTTTCACACTGTCTGAGTTAATGATTGGAATGATTATTAAGACAGCTCTATCTGAGGTTATATCACACAGTACTTAAATTTTCTCTTATCTAGAGAGATGGGGACTGGGCAAGATACTACTTGCACTATATTTCTCCCCTAGGTTCTCATTGATAGGTAAGAATCGGGTGTCTCAATCTTCTTCAGATTTACTACACCCAGATCCTTAGGATACCTGCCACTGGTGTTTATGACTTTTATACTTTTTTTGCTCTTACCCTTAAGGTTTTCCATCCCTATTAATGGGACTAAAATTTCTATCCTTAAATTTCTATCACATACATAATACTCCGATATGAATTTATAGCATTTTACAGTAGAAAAGGATTTACCAAGAGAAAGTTTCAGAAATGTAATTAACTGAGCAGTAATCAATTAATAAAGATGGTAATTACATTGAAATGTACGGAGACAAGAGATTTTTTAAGAACAAAAATTCAAATAATATCAATAAACACTGTGGTGGAAAGATGCAATAATTTGAAACATGAGAAATAGAATGACAATTGAAAACGATTTTTTTTTACCAGATAAGTTTTTTTTTAAATTGATTTTTTAATTAATTAAAAACAGAGGGAGATAACTCTTACCAAAGTTCAAGGTCATAAATTAGGGCACATCCCATACTTACATGCTAATAGTAATAAATGAGAATTATGTCTTAATATACTAAGTATTCAACACTTACACATCTGTTATGTATTCAATTTCATTGAATCTGTTGCTATTAGGAATGGAATATATTAACTTCCTTAATGCTGATTCAACATCCAACTTCTTCTTCTAGCTTCTGAATACCTGACTTTCCCAAAGCTTTACCTTATATACCCTTTGGCTAGTCAATTCCAAAAGGTTGTCAGGTCATTTCATTATTTGAAGTCTTCAATGCGTTTCACTCAAATGCCCCTTAACCATTACACATATATATGTCCCACTGTTTTGGCCCCGCCCTACCCCCAGGGGTCATGATTGAAACAAACTTGAATCTACACTACCTGAGGAATTTCTGTTATAATATGACTAATCATGCCTTTGCCGTTCTCGAGAAGAATATTCTTAAAGACATTTCCTATATATTCCGATGTAAAACTTCGACTCCCTCTTGTGGCCCGGCCCTACCCCCGGAGCTCATAATACGAACAAACTTGAATCTAGAGTTGGTAATGAAGCTTTCACATAAGTTTCATCTTTTCTTGCCCAGTGGTTCTTGAGAAGGAGATTATTAAAAGATGCCACTTAATTTTACGAATTCTTAATTATCTCCCCTTGAAAGAGGGCACAGCTCTTCCTGTGAACAAATTTATCCCTTCAGCCGTAGATGCAGACCTGTTTACCCATATTGTTGTCTCTCAATATTTTGTATTAGTTTTGTCAGTGAGATTTGGCATTTGCCCGTAAGATTTCACTTTCCACCCATTTCACATATGTTACTAGAGAACAACGAATTCCTGATTAACAAAACATGGTTTGAAAAACATCATAACTTGCTTTCATTCGAGGGGTTTCTGTCAATTTTTAAACTACCGCGTTTGGCAACCCGACATCACTTACGTGTTTTAAATCTATCTCTTTTTATAGCAATTAAAAAGCGTCAAACCGAGACAGATCCTAACGAAAACTAACTGCTAAAACCTAAACAAACGGATTTCCTATTTCCGTATTTTCATAATAGCAAAACGTGAGACGTATTTTGGACTCAATTTCCGTACGAAATACGGCGAAATCGTAAGGGTAAACAGGTCTGTGGATGCTTTGTGGCAAATTTGGTTGAAATTGACCTAGTGATTTTTGAGAAGAAGTCGAAAATTGAAAAGATTACAGACGACAGACAGACGCCGCACGCTCTTTCATCAGATAAGCTCTCACTTGAACTTTCGTTCAGGTGAGCTGAAAACCGTAAAAATCTTGGTTCTCATTAGCAAAAAGGGGAAGTTTGGTGACCCCAACATCTCAAGAATTAAAACTATAACTGTTATAGAATATCATTTAAAACTGCCTAAATAAGAACTCTGCAATCTTCCCAAAAACACTGAAAATTCCTCCTAGCTTGAATATTGTAGAAATGTATTTTCTCAGGTTGTAATACCTCTGGTCATGAGCAACCATTGTGTTGAGTATGAAAAGAAGAAGGGCGAACCAGGCGAGTGCAATGCCTGTAGTGCGACAAACATGAAGGTGAAAAGTTACATCTAAATTAATATAACAAACTTTTCTTTGATATTTCATCTAAAATTACAGCCTACTTTATGTAAAATCTCTACAATTTGCAGAAGTCTCATAAAGATTGAAATTATTTGCCTAGGAAATAGCATACACACGCTAAAGTGGACATTTTCTCAAACTATAACACAATTTTTCGATATGAGTGGGTCTTCGCTCCATCTCTTGAAACTTTATCTTCAAAGATATACATTTTTTGTTATCAAAAACATGGAGCAAAGACCCACTATACCTTAAAAATACACTTTTATGATACAACATTCGCATCTTTCCGAGAAAATGATCCCAAGCGTTTTTATTGCTAGGGTTCGAATCCGACGAATACATTTTTTTAATAACAGAATCATTTTTTTCATAGAAAATTTTCCTCAGAAAATCTATCTTCTATCACAATTTAATAAATTTCAATACTGACTATACTCTACATACTAAATTCACAAATTATGATTTTTAAATATCTGAAGCTATAGGCATTCTGCGCGCCTTGTTCAACCATCTCCTTTGAATTTCCACATTCCTACCAATAAAAAAATACTGACCCAAAGAATATATCATGGCCTTTTTTGGTGATCATGACATCAACAACCAAATAACCATGGCTATGAATCATGACAGTACTCTTGGACACAAGCAACCTTTGTGTTAAATATGATATAACGTAATTCTGCTTCAATATACAATGATTTGTCTCTGAAGAATTTCACACTTCTGAGAACTTCAGAAAATGCACACCTTTCTCGTGCACAGTGTGTTTCTTCGTGTGGCTGGCCTAAACAAGAATTCAGCACTTCTGAATTCTGTAACCTTGACCTGTAGAGTCTGGATAATCAGATTCCCATCCTTCATTTGAAGGTATTTTAATTTTTATATTAATTAATTAAACAAGCTTGAGTTTTTTATTGTTTTTTTTTAAGATAACTCCCCTTCTCGCATTCACATGCAAATAAACTTGATATAATTCCATAAAAATCACCTAATTCATCTGATGCAGCATGTGCACACAAAGATGAATGTTTTAAATAGGAAAAAAATCAGTTTTATGTTTATCAAGAACGGTACATGTATATAGCTATGCGGCGCACAAAAAACTACGGCATACCGGTACAAGTACCTCCTTCCGAAACACCATACATGCACTTTAGTTTTCAGTTATTACATATGTACTTTAAATTTCACAGAAAGTGAAAATTGCAGATATTTTGATATGCCAATTTATATATATTTTTATATGAATTACATGTATGTCACTTCATCGGGCACATTAACAAAAATCTTTTCTCTCTTCACGTAAAAAAAATTATTCGTAAAATACGCCAAACTTTAATTCAAAAAAAAAAAAAAATCAAATTACCAGCGGAATACAGAAAATCCTTTCTCGTTTGCATGTTATATATACATATAATAGACTTACCTCGATTTGCAAAAGTCAACTTTGCCAAGTAAAAAAATGCAAAATGCACTGAATTGTTCTTATTTCTGATTAAAGCGGAAAATCCAGCAAGCTACGACCAAACCCGAGCGAGTTTGTTCCCGGTGCAATCACAGCCTCTACTTAAGTGTTTAATTACGTAATAAAACAGGATAGTTGTCATGCACT